CATTATATGATGCAAAACAACTTTGACGCCATGTCCTTATGTAAATGGTTTGGATATCCTGATTTCTTCATAACCTTTACATGTAATCTAAAATGGCCTGAAGTTAAAAATTTTCTTCATAACACTTCACTGCATCCAGACGATAGACCTGATATCTTATGTAGGTTATTGAAAATAAAGCTTGATGCTTTTATTAAAAACATACGAGAAAATAAAATTCCCGGCATCGTTCAAGCAGGTATTCAAAGTTGTTGTTTAATTCAAATTTTTTTATAATGATTTTTTTGTTTCTTAACATTTTTTATTATTTGCAAATATACTTCATCCAATACAAATCATATATTATTTGTCAAATTAATTTGCAGTGGTCTATACAATTGAATTTCAAAACAGATCATTGCCACATAGTCATATATGGCTATTTATGCATGTTGAATCTAAGTGGCCTACTGTTGAATATATTGATCCGATTATTTCTTGCTGAGATTCCAAATATCAATGAAGATCCAGAGTTGTATTCACTTGTAAGTGAATTCATTATACATGGTCCTTGTGGAGCAGAAAATATGAATTGTCCATGCATGCTTAACAAGCAATGGTCCTTGGAAACCTAATGATAGGTTGTGGAAGCCAAGGAAAATTGGACGTTCATTAGGAAGGATTCACTCCGTTTCACCTAAACTTGGCGAAGTCTACTTCTTACAGATTCTTTTAAATAAAGTGAAAGGTCCAAAATCATTTGAAGAAATTCGTATTGTAAATGGTGAAGAATTTCATGCTTTTCGCGATGCATGTTACGCTTTGGGCCTTTTAGATGACGATAAAGAATACGTTGATGCAATTAAGGAAGCAAGTCATTCAGGTTCCTGATGAATGTATGCATGTTTAGTTATACTTGTTGTATTCGTGATACTTGTATGTGCTTGGTAGGGAGGTGAGTGTGGTCGGGATCCCATATCTCATCACTAGCTGAGTGTGGACGGGGTTTCATATCTCATCATTAGCAGAGTAAGGGCGGAGACCATGATAGGCGAAGCCTTAGGACTGGAACATATAGTATTGTGTATGATTCATTATGTTCGACCAATAGGACCGGGACCGGAGATGAGAGCAGCTCAATAACGAAAGTTTATGTTAATTCCTAGACCAGTTCAAATCGGACATATTCTACCAACACTAGGTTGAATCGGTATGATATATATGGTTTATTGGACTTTGATAATTTAATTTCATTGGGCCCGTTAAAAACAAAAAATTTCAAACAAATTAAACATCTCAATTAATCAAATTATCTAGAATGTACATAACTCGAAGTTTGATGACGCACAACACTATTGGGCACGTCTTTGACGCACACTAGACAACGGTATGAACAACGTGTAGACCAATACTTATCAATTGTTATGTCTATGGTTTTATAATATAAGTTCACTATAGAATGATTTACGTTTATGGATGTCAGATTTTTGGTTTTGTATATATATATATATATATATATATATATATATATATATATATATATATATATATATATATATATATATATAAAGAAATAATAAATAATTATAAATTTATAAAAAGTGGATTGAATCGGTTGAATTGAACTAGTCATAAAACGGGTTCAACTAAAAAAACCTATTTTTTCAAAAACCTATTTTTTAAAAGAACTTGGAAGGGGTGTTTTTAGGTAATAAAACAATCTTTTATAATGACTTGGAAAGTGGCGTATATTATGAGACCAATTAGATACCCCTTAGAATGTTTTCTAAACCATTTGTAACATTATAGTATTATCACTAATTTTTATATTCTAGTCCATGGGATGCATGTATTTTGTCCCATCTAACAACAAAGGAGCTTATGTAAAATCCTTAATTTGTCGACATACCCCACCACACACGATTAGTGAAATAAGTGTCGATGTAGAGGCTTTTTAACCACAATCACCCTTCATCGCCAATTTTGAAAGCCACAAATGCGGAGGAGATGGAAGTTGAGAGAGGGAGAGATGCGATCGGCCTCCGACGATGGGTTTGAACGTGATACCTCTAATTTGGGGTTATGAGGAAGTAGATTTGTGTGAATTTACTACTTTACCCTTAATAAAACATTGAAACGGCACAAGTTCATCAAAGGATTTTTTTTTTTATACTAAAAAACCAAAATAAAAGAAATTAATTTCTTTTTTAGAAAAAGTTGGTACAAGACTAAGGGTAAATAAATTTTGATTTAGGGGTAATAATTTTCAAAGCCTAACAAATATGGGGATAATATTATTATATGAAAATTAGCAAATGTACGTTATCAAAATCTAAAATTTACATAATATTTATAATGTAGAAATTATGTTATAATTAAATTTTCAAAACAAATAAAAATAATATTTTATTTTTGTTGTTGAGTTTTCAAAGATAATTGTGTATTTTTAATATATTTTTTTCAATAATCTTATATATTTTGCTACGGAAACATATTTCGTAACTACTTGACTACGGAATTTTCCGTAGCCAAATACCTATGGATTTTGATTTCATAACTATTTTGCAAATTCACCTTTTTGTAACAAATTCCATAATAGATTAGCTACAAAATTTTATTTTATAGCAAAATTTCCTAACACAATAGCTACGGATCCCAATTCCATAGCTAACTAGCTACGTATTTTTATTTCGTAGCCAATTATGTAGCTAACTAGTTACATACATGGATTTTGTAACAAGTTTCAAAGAGAACTAGCTACAACCAAAAAAATTGTAGCATTATTTGTAGTAAACTAGCTACGGATTTTAATTCCATAGCAACTATTCAAGATTTAGTTACGGAATACAATTTCGTAGCCATTTCCGTAGCAAATTAGTTACAACCAACCATTTTATAAAATATTCCGTAGTAAAATAACTATAAATTTAGATTCTGTAACAATTTTACATAGCTATTTAAGATTTAGCTACATAATGCAATTCCGTAACCATTTATGTAGCAAAATAGCTACGACAAGTCGTTTCGTAGCGTATTCCGTAGTAAAATAGCAACGGATGTTGATTCCATAGTAACTTTCCGTAGCTATTTATGATTTTTCTTGTAGTGTAATTTTTATATGTAAAATCCTATAAGTCTCAAAAAATCATAAAATATAACTTTGTGAAACCTTTTATTTTTTTCTTTGCAAAAAATGATTTCAAAAGAACTTTTTATCATCCAAACAACTTTTGATTTTTTTTAATTTTTTAAAAAAAATAAAAATTAAAAAACCATTTAAAACAATCCCAAACACCCTCAGCAATTTCGAAATAAGTGTAGACATACCCCACCACACACCACTAGTGAAATAAGTGTAGATTTAGAGGCTTTTTAACCACAACCACCCCTCATCGGCAATTTCGAAAGCCACGTGAAGTCTCTTAACGTGGCTCCTTTAAGCATCCACTCTCCTTTGTCTTCACCAGTTCTCCCCAACACTATAAAACCCACCACCTCAAACCCTCATCCTCCACTTCAACCACCACCACCACCAGGACTACTACCACCTTCTCTCCTCCCTCAAAACTTCATATATCTTTTTCCGACATGGCTGCTTCTTCAATATTCATGGTAGCCCCCATCACAGTTTTCAAGAGAAATCCCACATTCTCCATCAGGTGCATGGCAAAGACACCACAAAGTGGTGAAACCGGGAGTTCCAAACAAGCAACCACACCAAATATGACCATTCCTCCTCCTCCACCGCCTGCACCGAAGGTCAGCTCGAAGTTCTCTGACGTATTGGCATTCAGCGGACCGGCACCGGAGAGGATAAACGGAAGGTTGGCGATGATCGGGTTTGTGTCGGCGATGGCGGTAGAAGTGAGCAGCGGTCAAGACGTGTTTGCCCAGATCGGCAATGGCGGAGTGGCGGTGTTTGTCGGCACTAGCGTGGTGTTGACGTTAGCGTCGTTGGTGCCGTTGTTTAAAGGAGTGAGTGTGCAGTCGAAGTCGAGTGGACTGATGACGTCAGATGCAGAGCTTTGGAATGGACGGGTTGCGATGTTGGGGCTGGTGGCTTTGGCTTTCACTGAATATGTTAAAGGCAGTGCCCTTGTCTAGTCTAAGCTAAATGTATTACAAACTTTTCTATTACACAGTTAAATCTAAAACAGGAAAATATATATTCTTTTGAATATTTATTTGTATCGATTTCCCATATATGGTTCAATCATGAAAAAAGCATGTTTTTTGATAATATAAAAGAATATAATACAGTATAACTAACAAATTTTTTTTGAAGAATGACAACAAATCATTCACCCTGTATGAATGACACCTAATATTGAATAAGACAACCTAGATTAACACCACTTTTTAACATCCATTTCCCACACCCCAATGATCAAAAACACCTACATGGCTTAATTTTAAGCTTCTAATCTTATGTTTTGGATTTCCTTTTTGCTAATTATATTGAAAGAATTTTTTTAATTTGCTTCGTGATGGTGCCCCTTTAATCAAGGTCTTTCGACCAGGAGTTCCTCTACACCATAGATCTGATTTTATAACTGTTTCAGTAATGATTTTTAAGACTTTTAAAGACATTTATTTAGTGATGTGACACTGGTTTTTGGTCATCAATGATCAAATTTATTTCATTAAATTTGTCACTCAGACTTTATTTCAAGATGATTCATATTTATCGGCATGTTATTCTTTTCAAATAATTTTTGTGTATTACCATTCCAGAACAAGAGATGTTATAGAATTTTGAAGACGATCTGAATCAGATCATATAAAAACAAACACAGTTTTTTCTATATATACTAACAATTAATTAAAACAAATGTGAAACTCGTGTATAAACTATGAACAATTGTAAGACATCAGAAAAGTTCGACATAGATATTAGAATAATAAACCATATCTCCAATATATATATATTATATATATAATATATATATATTATATATATATATATATATATATATATATATATATATATATATATATATATATATATATATATATTATACCTTTTGCTCCAGTTACTAAGCCATGATGCTAAATAAACACTTTATTAAATTGAAAAACAACAGCAATAAGAACTTGCTGACCATATATATGCAACATTAATGTTTTTATCTAATAAGATTATTTCTGTTGAGAAGATGATGAATTATGGAAAAACAGACACACAGCTGAGATGTCATCCGTACAAAAGCCTGGTCTTTGCCTCTTCCATTGATTGGACGCGTAGTCAACGAGTCTTCTTGATGATTCGTCCTTTTCTGATGCTGATGAAACGATTTCAACTGCCTTTTCGTTTGAGACAACGTCCCATACCTGAATAGGAATAAAAGATATTTGAGAAAATGACGAAAATAATCAACTAGGGTAAAAGTGTATAAAAATTATGACATTCTGTATTAAGTCGTTCTTAAAATTTAATGGGAAAGCCTCATTTTTTGTGGCTTTTTTTTGTATTAAAACGTTCTTTTTGCATTAGGTTTTGTCTCCATTAACCCATTAAGTCAAAAAAAAGGAAAAGGGTCTTGTTTGGTTTCAAGGTTTTACTTAAAATGGGTTAAATTTCATTTATTTGTTTGTTATAGCATTCTACTTTCATTTCTTCCTATCAGTTTCAAAAATGTTATAGCAATGTCGTCTATATACAAAGATGCGTAGTCTTTTTTAAAGTACAATGCCCTAATAAGAATATTTTGAAAGTATAATCCCTTAATTTGGTATACTTTAAAAGTACAATGTCTTAATTAGAAAAAACAATGTTGTAATTAGGAGAAATGAAATTGAGATGCTATAATAAACAATTAAATGAAAGTAGGTTGTTATTTCGTGCAATTTAGCCCAATTAAAATCCAAGATGAAGTTTTGTATTCGAAAATGAATCCAAAAGTTAAAATTACGAAAATGTACCCCATCGGTTGCCAAAATGACAAAGCGATCTCGTGCGGTTATTGTTGTTTGTATCACGTCTGGCTCAGAAATAAGACCAAAGTCTTTAACAAAATAGTCACCAAAAGCCCTTGAAAGTGCGAGTCCCGGACCTTCGGATGTCTCGTCATTTGAAGCACGAATCCTCGAGACTCCCGGTTCATCCTCTGACTCACACACACTCCCTCCCGCCTTATATATCCTTTCGCTTTCCTCTACACAATAGCAACACAAGAATCGAGCATAAGTGCCAATATATATATATATATATATATATATATATATATATATATAATATATATATTATATATATATATATAATATATATATAGAAATGAAAGTTAGACGTTATAAATATAAACAACAAATAAATGAAACTACATTGTTATCTCTTGCATTTAACCCCTATATATATATATATATATATATATATATATAATATATATATATATATATATATATATATATATATATATATATATATATATATAGGGGTTAAATGCAAGAGATAACAATGTAGTTTCATTTATTTGTTGTTTATATTTATAACGTCTAACTTTCATTTCTTTCTATTACAACGTTGGTAGGTCCAAATTTATCAGCACGTTGTACTATGAAAAATCAAACCAAATGTAGCATTGTAATTATTGGTTTTTTTTCTTATTAAGGCAATGTACTTTAAAAAAATCTAACCAACTATAACATTGTATTTCCTTTTTCTTCTTATGAAAGTATTGTACTTTGAAAAATCTAACCAATTATAGCAGTGAAAGTTTCTTTGTGTTTAGATGGTATTGCTATGATTTGGTAGATTTTCAAAGTACAATGTTGTAATGGGAAGAAAATGGAGTAGGATGTTATAATAAGCAAATCGATGAAAGTACATTGGTAGTACTATCTCACACAAATATAAAGAGAGATCAAGTGCTTACGAGGTAAATTTGGTTTAAAATCTACAGTTAGTTGAACGGCAACCAAGCTACCATCGTCTTGAGTTGTTCCAAGAACAGCTCGACAATCGCCAACATTTGCTAACACAAGAAGATCCCCCTAAGAATCATAATCATGGAAAAAAAAAGGTTTATTCTCTTCATTTCAAAAGAAAAACATATAGTTTTGACTTTTAACGTCATTCTTATCCGATTTGATCATATGGATTTTGGATAAGTAAAGAAAAACACTTGTTCTTTCACCTTTTGATCACTTAATTATTTTTGAAGTGATTAAACCAATCAATAAATGATATTTTGGAAAATGGGAATTACTAAATTTTAAGAATATGTACCTCTCGGATTATAGTCACGGCAGCAGCGCCGCTAAAAAACGAATCGATCACCGGATGAAGCTCTAGATCATAATCAACAGTCGAGCAAGTTTTCATTAAAGATTTCTTCCACATACCAAATTGATCAAAATTTGAATTTTTTAACGAATCCACCGAATATTGAGCACAAGCTTCTTGCCAAAAGTGAAGCAAATAAGCCGGCATTACTTTCTTCACTCGTTTTCCAACAAGATGCCCCCACGGACCATGCCCGTCAAAAACACCACAAAACATCACACCTTCCTTCCCTCCAAACGACTACAAATTAATAGAAAAATAAGAACACAAGAATATACATGGAAAACTCTAAAAACATAAAACCACCTAAAAGAAAAAGTCAGTATATGACAAATTATCACAATGAACACATTTTTCTCTCAAACACCAACCCCGAATTACACCCACTCTTCAAAATTTTAATTAATATTTGTTAAAAAAAGAGAGAGAGATTAAGATTTACCTCCCACACAATGAAGGAATCTTGATTGATTCCTTTATTCCCGCCTTTAGAATAAGCGGACACATAATTACTCGATCCATTTGCACAAACGCTACCAGGAGAAGTCAATAATAAACCATTTTTTCTTGCTTCCTTGGCTAAAGCATTAGTAGCTTCTCTTCCAAAATTAATCCTCCGTTTCTTCACGTTTTTTGTTGTAATATTTCTCGTTATTCCATTCAAAAACGAAGAAAACTGAACCATTTTTTCTACAAAAGAAAACAATCGATCCCCACAACATTATTATATTGAACATGAATCATCAAAAGAAAACAAAAACTTTTAACAACTACTCAATATTAAAATAGCAAGTGTATACTTTAGGTTAAGTTGAAACAAACAGAATTGATGTAATCTGACTTACCAGGCTGTATACCATCAGTTATTTTTTGACATGTTCCGAATATTTTGAACTCAAAATGGGATTTTTTCATTTTGGATTTTTTTAGCAAGAGTTGTGTAAGGAAATGATATGATGATATATGAACTTATATAGTATATATATGCCACAAATTATTGGAAAAAGGTGCAGTGAATCCATGGCGATGAATTATTAGGAGACTCGTGATCAATTTGAAAGGTTGTGTTGACATCAAAAGAGTCACTTTCATGGAAGGGAGATTTTAGACCATGTATTTAAAATAAAAACAAAATAGCAGGCAAATAGTGATCTGTCGACATCTATCGACCTAATCAAATATGTCCTCGTGCATGTTATGGTCCACTAAACGGCCCAACCTCCATAACTATGTCCTTCAAAAATATCGTAAATCCAAATTATCCCAATTATATATTTCGTAATTATTTACACAATATATTAAATAATTGTAGATTTGTATTTTTTTTTTTCTCATTCTTTATATGTATTTTGAGTTTAGAATGATTGGTTCAAATTTGTCTGGCTGACGTGGCGCTAAAGTGACGGATAAAAAGTAACAAAAGATGTGATGCTAGACCCGACGTTATAATGGTGCGATTTTGTTGATTTATAAAATTAATGATGTCGATTATATAAAACCAATAATTGGATTAGGTTATGTAAAGACAAAATAACAAAATTTTATCTGTTGTAATTTCACTCTCAAAATTTTGGATATGGGTTTGGCATCAAAATTTTTGAGGTATACGAAATTCTGGGTCTCCAATAAGTGTTACAATCATAAAGTGACAAATAATAATTAAATATTCAATCTGCTTTGTGGGTTACTTATTGTCTAATTATAAAAAATGGACCGATAAAATTTCTTTTGATTTCTAGTTATATCATTAGAGTGGATTTCAACAGGATAATAAAACATAATACATGGATTTCAACATATTAGTTGCTACACTGGATTTCTAACATATTACATACTTGGATTTCAATATATTAGTTGCTACACTTATTTCAACCGTGTAATTTGTCTATTTATAAAAACCCTTAAACATTTTGTAATTTGCCAGTTTTTAGTATTTAATCTTTGGGTTGTTTAAAAAAATAAAGATAATAGGGTGGACGACTAGACGTCATGCCAGCCAGATCAGAGGTATAATCGCATATAGAAAGGTGGGTCCTACTTCCTAAGACACACCTATTTTTTTATAGTAATAATTATATTGAATAAATTTTAGAAATCATCTTGAAAAAAATTTGATAAGATACAAAAACAAATAAATAAAATAAAAGAATTGGTGGAGGGTTTATATTTAAATTTACAAAAACAAATGGTTAATATTTATTAAAACTTATCCCACATAGGAGATAAAAAGAAAGATATATAATTATTTGATGTTATAAAATTGATGGTATATGGTTATAATGAAACTTTAAAAGCAACACAGCTTATCTTACATTGTTGGTTGTAAGAAATAATTATTGCAAATACTCTTTAATAAAAAAGAGATTTAGTCATGCAAAATTATTGTTTTTTTTTAACAAAAAATTCACTTTTAGAGGTCTAAGTAGTTTTTACTGATTCGACCCAACCTGATTCTGTCACATGTATTGTTGATTCTTTAGTTTTTTTCAACTTTACTTAATTAGGAACCACATGTGATTTTATTTTAGATTAGTCATTAAACCAGATAACTATAAATAAACAAATTATGTCATATTGGATGTCACGATTTAATATCGGTTTTTACCAGGTTGAAATCCAACTCGATTTTGTAATAAAAACCCAAAAATTGTATATGTGTCTATTGAGTAAAAATTAGTGATCAAAGGAGTAAATTGAATACTATGGATTGTCATCTTATGATATCAACCATAAAAACTTTCAAAACATAAAACCACTTTATACCCGAACATATGTCCTTAAAAACCTTTTGATAAAATGGACGGGTCACGTGGATTGAGTAAAATCATTTTTGTCAAAAATTTTAATTTCATATATAGTAATTGTGTATTTAATATTAACAAAATTGTTCAAGAGACAAGTGGGTTGTAAACATTTGAATACATTTGCCCTTACTTTCAACCAGTTTGACCCGTTTTTTTTATCAAATCTTTACCCATTTAGCCAAATGGAGCTGAAAAAACCGGACCGGGTTTTTCATATCTACCTGAACCGGACCATAAAATCCATAACATAACTTGAAGCATTAGAAACCATGAATAGCTAAGCTAACCATAGCTGAATGCCTGAATCCCATTAATTACGTTCAAATGATGATCTAATTAACTTCCATTTGATCGATCAATTAAAACCCTTGTTTCTTTTGATTCCAAAATCAATAAGAAAATCAACATGAAATCCTCTATATACGCTTTAAATATATCAAACAAACAAACAAGATTATGAACACCAATCATTCAAATCCCATACTCATGTAAAGCTTCGTAAACAAACAAATAACTTAATCAACCAAGAATCTCACCTTGTTTCTTCGCCAGTTTTGCTTGAACGTACGAACGATCTTCAATGGAAGTAGCTCAGAATTAAGCTAAAATGAAGGACACAGAATTCACTTGGGCATTTATACAAACAGGTAGCTTCCACTCCATCTGTTTCTTAGAAAAATTTTCCAAAGTCACTTGCGCATTTACACAAACAGGTTGTGTGCATACAAATGCTCCACAAACTTCCTTTTGTATTTGATCATGAAATGGTGGGTGGGTGGATCATATATATGCATAATTGTAGATGACGGTGATGTGGCGTGCCGGGCCCCTATATCATTATCGTAGACTCAAGAATATTGGATAACTACCTTTCTCGAGTCGCCATTTTTACATGGAGATCCTCTAGGTTATGAGTATGTCCAATTACAATCCCTTTGGTTTCTAAAATTTCAAGTATAACCCAAACATTGAGGATATATGTAGAATGTGAAAACTTGTAAATATGATAAGCAATTTGTATTGCATGTAACAATGTTTTGTCCTCTTGTAGTAAGGATTGATAGTTAATTAATCGAATATATATTTGTTTAGTTGAAAATAAGGTTATTCTCTTTTTAATGTAATGGTATATTAAATTAAACAAAATATATTAGATATGAAAATTCTATTGATTTAACACATGGGTATATTGCTAATGGTTTGTTAGGGTTTTTGATGTGATTGTAAGTGTAGTTTGGTTTAATAATCTAAAATCTTTTTAATACCTTTTTTCTAAGGTTTCTCAAAATATTAGACTTAATGTCAACTGTTATAGAGTACAAGGGCTAAGTTTCACTACATAGAAAGCTAAAGGTCGGTTATGCAAATATTTACTAGGCCACCGAAAAGGTTTGGCATGTTTTATAAATGGTTTTAGAGCTATTTCTTTTAAAAAAGGATATAGTGTTTTTTTTTTCTTTTTTTCTTTTAACTTTAGTCACTAGATCTTATAGCTTTTTGTTGTATAATTCAATGATTAAAAAATGCAACTTGTGTTTTGGTTCATAGTTTGATAAACATATTTGCCAAATAGTAAATGTGTAATTGTTTATATCATCATTTTAAAAAATCAAAGTAAGGTTTAGGTACGTAAAAACTAATCTTATCGAAAAAAACAAAGAAGAAAAATACAATATTTTATGAAGATTGTAGAATAGAATCTTCAAACATCAAGTCTGGGGTATTTAAATTCGTCCAAACAAATACATAAAATAAAATGTTAAATAAATTAAATGTAGAAAAACTACATTTTTAACTTACTCAAACTTGTACCAATGTAAATATAAAAATAAAAATTTAATTAATATCAAAGATTACGTTGAGGTTAGTTTTGAAGGAAATGACACTTTTTGATTCCAAAGCAATATCAGCCAAGCAATTTTATTGTAAATATTAAATATTAATAAGTTTACACATCCAAAGTAAGTCGGTGATAAAAAAATAATAAACGTATTATTTAGATTAAAATAACTTAGTGGCTTAAAAACGATTCTGCCATAAGAAGGATTAATTAATGAATCCTCATGACAGTTAAAAAATTAAATAAGCCAAGTGTAATTAATTAAATATAAATAAAAAAATGTCGATATTTTGTTGGTCTACTACTAAATTTGATCATCATTGATCGTAAATATAATAATTGAATCAAGATATTATTTAATATGAATATAAATAATTAAAGCAAAACAGGGTTATCATGATATAATTAAATATATGCATGTATGATGTACGATTATTTATTTAATATGTTGATTAGAAAATAAATTAGGTACGGTGCTATCAAATACGATGACGGGGTGCTTTGAAATTGTAAAAGTAAGACGAAATTTTAATTTGTTTTATGAAATCATGGTATATGTTTTTGTGATCGATAAAATCAATGGGGTACGAATCTATTATTATATATAATTAAATTAGGCTAGATTCTGTTTTAATAAAAAGCCAAATTTCATAAAAATCTTTAGAACTTTAAATTGTTTTCCGGTTTAAAACTATTTTCTGATTAATTGTAGTATAATATTTGTTCAGTTTAGCTATCTAAAGTTCTGTATGATTTAACCAGAAAAATATTTATTTTCTTCCTATGGTTTTTCGCAACTGGTTACCGAGAAACTCTTACAATGACTTTTATTAAAAAAACAATAACTCTTACGTGTAAAATCAGGAAAAAAAATCTTTCAGTAGTATATATAAATAAATAAATAAATAAATAACAATGATTATTTTATGAAATTTTAGGCTTAAATCTTAATAGAATTGAACTTGTGATATGTTTATATCATCGACCACGATAAGGTTCATAATGTATGCATACATGCACATTTTATTTTTAATAATTATATCATTTTATTTTTGACCGACTAAGTTTATAAGATTAAAAGGCTGGAAAGTGAAACAATTGTTTAGTCTAATAAAATAGTCATTTATGTGTTTTGGTTGTAGATATCATAAACTCCGTATTAGTAGTTGGGTTCCTAGCCACAAAACTCGATAATGCTAGTCAATGGTAATTGTCCTGTCCTAGCTAAGCATTTATCTGATGGGAAAATAACTTATTAAGGTAATTAACTTTTCGGTATGTTCACATCTGGGTAACCATCTTTTTTTTGTACATATTTAGGTAACAAACTTGTTGGAAGTGTTCACATATGACCATTATGACCTGCTATAGCAGGTTAAATCCTAGATGTGAACGCTTTTAACAAGTTCATTACCTAGATGTGTACAAAAAAAAACAGTTACCCAAATATGAACAAAACGAAATATAAAAGTAAATTACACGAATGGTCCCTATAGGTTGGGAAAATTTGTGTTTTTGATCCCTAACTTATGTTTTTAACTTAGATGGTCTGTACTGTTTATTTTTTGTGCGCGTTTAGTCCTTGTATTACCTAAAAAGTCTATTGTGCTCTTATTAATTTATTTTTTAATTAATTTTCTTATTTATGTATTTATTTTTTACATATTTAAAAAAAATGAATAGACCTCACATATTTGTATCTCCTCAGATGATTCATACTGTTTATTTTTTAATTAATTTATTTTTTTTAACTCAGATGATCCCTACTGTTTAATTTTGTTACGAGCTTGGTCTCTATGTTACCTAAAAAGACTATTGTATACTTATTAATTTTGTTACGTCTTCATCATCCCTTCTTTTTTCGGTCATTCAACTCCGTCGAATCAACACTACAACCCACTAAAGATGAAGAAAGAGTAGGTTATGGTGTTGGTTCACCAGAGTTGAAGTACCAAAAAAAGAAGAATGGTGAAAACGTCGATGTTACTAAAGATGGAAAAGAAATAGAAGTTGGGGAGGATGGGAGATGGGATGGTGACTGGTAAGACCCAAATTAAATTTCTCAAATGTGGTTTCAGGTTTACGATGATGAGATACATATATGTGGGGTCTATTAATTTTTTTAAATATATAAAAAAATAAATACATAAATAAGAAAATTAATTGAAAAATAAATTAATGAGGGCACAATAGTATTTTTAGGTAAAACGGGGACCAAAGCGTAACAAAAATAAATAATAGGGACCATCCAAATTAAATTTCTCAAATGTGGTTTGAGGTTTATGGTGAGGAGATACATCTATTAGTTTTTTTAAATATATAAAAAAAATACATAAATAAGAAAATTAATTAAAAAATAAATTAATAAGTGCAAAATAGTCTTTTTAGGTAAGACAGAAACCAAACACGTAACAAAAATAAACAGTAGGGACCATCCGAGTTTAAAAAAAAATAAGTTAGGGACCAAAAACATAA